GTCCGGGCGGGAAGCGGCGCTCCCGGCCCGGGGTTCCCTTAGGCGGCTCTGGCCTTCCTGTCCCTTTTCCCCCCGCCGCGCTAAGGGCGAGGCCTGGCACCGGGAGCCCGGCGCTCCAGCCCTTCCCGGGGGAACGGTGTATCCTCTGTCTCCCTCCAGGGTCGCCTCCGGCCGAGCCGCTCTGCGGGGTTTGCTGAAGGGGGCAGGGAGCACCCAAGCTGCTGCCCCTGGGCAAGGGAAGGGCAGACATGGCGGGGGCAGGTGGGTCCAGCTCAATGTCACACAGAGGCCTGCAGTTGAGGGTGATTTTCACCATCACATTCAAGACACGGAAATCTGGCTGTTGCTCAGCAGCTGAGCTGGGCGGGCTGGGGCTGGGGCCGTGGCTTGTTTTAGGGGAGTCTTCTGTCATCACCAATTTGACCCCCGAATGGGATCCCTGAGGAGCTGGGAAGGCTTCCCGTTTGCAATGGTCATTGTTTTATGTGCGTGTTGCTGATTCCACTGACCTAAATCCTCCTCTTCTTTGCTATCTCCGCGTGAAAGGTGAAGATGGAAAAACTGCGCGCGACAGGACCCCGTGCTCTACGTGACTGTAAGGAACAATGGACGGCGAATTCCTGTAAAAGGAGAAAAGGAGGCATTTTGGCAGAGTCCCCTTCAAAGCCATGATCAGGGGAAATGCGATTTCTCAGTGTTTAAATGTGCAGTGATGCTCACAGGCTGCAGTGGTTGTATGGACGCGTTTCAGTTCGTCCGTGATGAAGCAGGGCCCGAAGGTGGTACAGTTCTGTAGCTTTAAAGCTCCTCATGGAGGTAATGGCACTGATACAGGGCCACAGAGCCTTGCCAGGCTGTAGCACAAATCTGACCAGGCCTTTGGAAACCCAAGGCCCCAACGATCTCAAAAGTCCAAAGGACTTAGGGGTGTGAGGAGCCTTTGCCCTGAGGAAGGAAAGGGCACCTGGCTTCAGCCCAGCACAGGGAGCTTTTCTGCCTGTTTGTTACGGTGTGCGTGAGCAGAAGATACATTTACAGAGGCAGCTGGAAATATTTTAGCATTATCCAGAGACAAAGGCAATTAATTGCAGATGTCTTTTCCCTGTGAACAGCAGGGAGATAAAGGGTAGCTTTTTATGACAGCTATTTGAAAAACAGGTTTATCCTAAGTTTTTAAGATAACAATGTTCTGCTCCTCTCTTCTCATAAGGAAAATACACTGAAGTTGTGAATCCATTTCACTAAGTTTGCCATTCGTAAGGGATCGATATTTCAGGAAAAAAGGAGGAAATAATTCAAGATCTTCCTAAAAATAATCACATTCTGAGAGGTCTGATGGTAATGCAGTTTTCTGGCTCCAGGACCAATGCAAAACGAAAGGAAAGAAGAATTTTGTTCACACAAATTATATTGAAAAACAAAAACCAGAAGAAGGTAATTTATGTCATGGCAGCCTTTCTGGAAGCTGCGGTCAGTTCAGTCTTCTGAAAATCAGAGCTGGAAAAAGCCCTTTCTGACCACCTTTCCCACCAAAGCAGGGCAGGATGTGCTGCAGCCCAATGCATTCTCTTTCTTACAGGACAGCGGTTGCCCGAGAGCTCTGTCCAAGCGCCTGTGGCCTTTTACCTGGTATCTGCCAGCCTATTTATTCTAACAGGGAATAGTCTGGCACCAGACTGGCAGGTGCTGGCAAAGTGGATTGAAACCAAGTGCCCTACAGTGATGGATCGAGTAGCAAGTTGTACAGCAAAGGGTTAGACTGGAGGTGCAATTAGAGAAGGAAATGCATTGAACAAAGGCTTGACTTCAGTGCTTTGATTGGGATTCTGTTTTCTTAGGTTAACCAAGGGTAATTAGCAACATTCACCATCGATTTAAACTTGCTGATTCACACTTTGCACTCTGGATGGCAGTTAGGTCAAGGTGCCTTTGTTCGCAGGAAGATTAGAGCAGCGTCTATCCTGAATCTAGGACTTTTGTTTTGGAGACTATGCAGGCCTGACTGGTAAATGTTGGTACAGTCTCCTAAAACTACGCCTGTTGTTTTTATTAGCGCTCAGTCTCCTCTTTTCTTTCTCACTGTGTCACGCCAGAACCGCAAAGGACTGGAATCCTTTTAGCATTCTTACTCTTCTTTGACAAACATCCTGCTGTCCTGTCGCTGCCCTCCTGAAGTGTAGGAGCTCTTCTTTTGAGGGGGGAAAAAAAATCTCCAAACTCAAGGAACTGTTTGCACTTGTGTTTGGTGACATCTGCTTTACTGCAAGCATCGCTGAATGCAGCTCTGCAGCCTTTTAACCCTATTCTCTAGGGCAACAATTTTGTGCTCTAGTTCATCCAGGCTCTTATTTCTCACCTTTTTTTCAAGGAGTGTAAGATGTAGCTTCTCTCTTAAGAAAAGCTTTGGTTCCTTATCCTAAGAGCAGAGATCTGTGCAGAAATCCTCACAGGGTAACAAAAACCTTCCCTAGGGAAAACATCCTTGAACTAGTTTGAACTGAAAGCTCCCAAATTCACAGTGCCTTTGGCTGGAAAATGCAAATGTTCAAAGGACTGTGGCATGATTAAAGATTTTCTTGTCTCAGCCTCTGATGCAGGAGTGCAGATTCTCCTCCTCCCCTCCCTGCTTCCACAGATGGGGTTTATATGAGTGCATGAAAACCAATGAGGGCGTTAGAGGAAGAAACGACGACCTAAGGTAGGAAACAGAGAAAGAAGGAAAGAAGGGCTTCTCGGGGCTTTTCCATTCTTTGCCCCTGTGGCTCTGTGCGGATCAGGTGCCTGTGTCCCTTCCGGGCAGTGGACCCAAGAAGATGGTCTTGATTTCTGTGCCAGTGACAGTTCTGCTTTGGAACTGGGCTCTGATTCAAGGACATCAGACTCCTTTTGGAGCACTCTTGCTGGACACCCAGTCACCAGTCTCAGCTCTTCTCTCTGGGAGGAGCTCGCTCCAGGTTCAGTTCACCGCACTCGCAGGTTTTTGCACCACCCGAGTGTATTTTTAAAGTAGGTTTCTCTGAGGTTTGGTTCCAGTTGTTTATAATTGCTGGCTTCTCCAGACCCTGCACTGCAGCATTTCCAAGCTCAGTGTGAAAGCTGTATAGACTTAGCGAGACTGCATTTCTGATGTATTATCGTGCTGCCAATCCCTGATCTTTGCAGCTAACCCAAAAGCCAGGGAAGAGGGAACAATAGCCTCTCCTCGTGCAGCTAAAGATCCTCAAACGTACACCACAACCGTTTTAACCCAGTTGAACGCCTCCAGGGGAGACGGTGATGTTTTGTCACATGCAGAAATGGAGAGATGGCAATGCTGAGGTACCACTTCCATTCCTTTCATTGCTGAGTGGACAGCTCGGGCCCGGTGTGTAGACATATCTCCTACCTGCAGCTTTGCTGCTCTCAGGATATCCAACCCCATCTTTCCCTGCTGCCTTCCCTCTTTGTTTTGGAGGGGTAAAAGCAGGTAAGGTCTGAGGGCTGGCCCCCAGCAGCTGTAAGGCAGGAGGCACGCATGCAGAGAGGTGCATGGTTTACCCCTCCTCTGATTTTTGGTGGGTTAGGAAAGAGTTAAATGAGAAGGGAGGGAGAGGCTGTGCTATTGTTCAGGCATCCCTGGGCCCAGGGTGGCGGATCTCTATTCCCGGATCTGCCTCTGGCTTCCTGCATGACCTTGGACCGCTCACTTACCTTTTCTTTTCCTTAACTCCCAAATTATAACATGGAAATCGTTCTCTTCCTGTGGTGCCCCGTTCCCTGCGGGTTTCAGGGTGGTTGAGATTCTCTGGTGGGAGATGATGGGAGAAGGAGAACTCATTTCCAATGGAGAAAGATTTACAGGGTAGCAATTTTTGGACGTGTTCTTGTTCACTTGGACACAGCGTGGGCTGTGCATGTGGTGATATTTGGGGGTTTTTTTAGTAGGCAAACCTGTGGTGAAAGTCAAATTGCATTTGTCGTTGATGAGGAGAGCAATGCCAGCTTGCAGTGACCCTGTTCTTCACTAGATGGTGCTTTTGCTCAAAGATTTGAAGAACGGCAGTCTTCTGCACAGAATTTCCTAATTTTCTTCCCCAGTCTCCATTCCTTCCCCTCTTCTTTCTGTGCCTGAACACTACGGGGGACACTTAATGATGCTGGGTGTTGAGCAAGGCTGACCTGGTGGTGACACACGCTCCAAGCCACCCGCACCCACCGGCCAGCGTGTCTTTGGGGCTTTGGTTTTTGAAGCGTCTGTCAGTGCTGCTGGGCTGTGGCAGAGAATTGAATTCTTTCTGTGTTTTCTATTCCCATAAGGAAAAGGCTTCAAAGAGCAGGTCCCCTCCCCCTCTTCTGCTGGTGAAGGGCATTTAGGAAAGCTGGCAAAAAAAAAAATCCAGCCCTGACAGACACATTCAT